AGAAAAAAGCATCCATATCCATATCTCAAAGCAAGTTTATTACAAAAATATATTTTATTATTAGTCAAGTGATACTTATTGTGCATTTTAAATATAAATATTTTTATGTATGATTAACTAACCCAAAAGCGAGAAATGCATTCCTTTCAGAAAGTGGTAGTCATTGGTCATATATTAACTAAAACAAACATAATTAGCCATATTAAATTTTTTGTTTGTTTAATTTATTTTAAAAATAAGAAAATTAATATTTAAACGTATTTGGTATTATTAAAATTAGTACCAATAGTTATAATAGTTTTATCAAATCAATACTTGATTGTAGGTGAACGGATCTATGTTATTGTGCACGCATGTCTAAAATCTCATTGAGATCAGTTGCTACATTATTGGTGTTAGCCTGTTAGGATCGGTCCAGTGCAATCACAGATGGGATCTTGAAACCTTGGCCCTAATGTCCGCCGCCGGCTTGCAATATGCGCCGGCGCGCTACAATTTATTTATTTAATAAGTTAGCGTTGTCGGATCCTTTTTATTAGAAAATGCTCTAGCTACCTAGAACAAAAGGAGGTGGATGTTTCGTGGATGGAGGACTGTTAGCTGCCAAGCCATGGCTCATGCACTTCTGGACGAGAGGATGAGAGCTAGACGACGTGGGATGTGGATGTGCATGGCCAGGTGCTGATCATCGCAGCCCCATGTCACGAACTGGGTAACTAGAAGTAGATTGGACAGAAATTTGGGAAAGAATCAGCAGCAGCAGAGGGGCTTGAAGAGCAAGAACAGAAGGATTCGGGGAGCAAGAACTCGAGGAGGGAGACAACCGAAAGGGGGGAACGGTTATGGTTCTGTTATTCGATAGCCTCTTCTGTTCGGTTACAATGGCTTATATGAGTCGTACTCACCCATCTTCTTACCAAATGGGCCGAAGCCCTAATCCTAATGGGCCAAACCCAGCAGTACAGGCCTAAAGATAACAGGCCACACTTAGCCACTCTTAGCCTTCACTCTTCGCGCCTTCTTGCCTTTCTTCAAAGTCCTGATGCAGCTTGTGACATTGCCTCCTGCTTTACCAACAGCTTGACCCCAAGCTGTGGGAAACCTCCGACTCATATCAGCAGCGTCCTCCAAGGAAGCCATCGAAGGAGGTTGATGCTCCCATTGTACCAGCAGTCTTTGCTTCAGCTTGCCCGCAACAGAAACATCCTGAACATCCAGCACCTGCAATGGCAAAACTAGAACAGTGGAATCAGTGGCAACTGCATCCAGCGAGTCCAACACTTCACTCTGTGGTGGAACTTGTTTCTTGAGTTGAGATACATGAACCACTGGGTGAATCTGAGCTGAGGCTAGTAGCTCCAATTTGTAAGCTACTGAGCTAACTCGAGCTATGATCTTGTATGGTCCAAAGAATCTGAAGGATAACTTGTGATTACTGTGATATGCCATAGATGACTGAATATAAGGTTGCAGCTTTAAATAGACCATGTCCCCAACCTGGAATTCCCTATCCTTTCTATTCTTATCAGCTTGATTCTTCATTCTCTGCTGGGCTCTTAGAAGTTGCTGTTGGATGAGTTTGTGCAACAAATTTCTCAGTCAACCAAGCAGATAAATCAGTGACAGTCACAGAACTTGGGTCAAGAATGCCTAGACTCCTTGGTGGATGACCATAAAGAACCTGGAATGGTGTTGTGCCTAATGCTGAATGAAATGTAGTGTTGTACCAATACTCAACCAAGGGCAGCCACTTAGACCATTCCTTTGGGCAGGCATGAACTGAGCACTCAAGAATGTTTCTAACCACTGATTCAATCTCTCTGTTTGCCCATCAGTTTGTGGGTGATAAGAGGAACTCATTAGCAGAGTTGTGTCAGAAAGGGCAAATAATTCTCTCCATAAAGCACTTGTGAAAATCCTGTCTCTATCTGAGATAATTGCCTTGGGCATGCCATGTAGTTTATAGATGTTACTGAAATATATATGTGCAATATTCAAGGCTGTGTATGGATGAGCCAATGGTAGGAAATGAGCATATTTAGTAAGTTTGTCAATGACTACCAGTATAGAATCATATGAGCATATTTAGTAAGTTTGTCAATGAGTACCAGTATAGAACCATACTTCCCAGATTTGGGCAACCCTTCAATGAAATCCATGCTCACCACAGACCATGCTGACTCTGGTACTGGTAGTGGTTGCAGCAGTCCAGGCATTTTAGTGTGCTCTATCTTGGCTTGTTGACAGATTGAGAGCCCTGCACAAAGGAAGTGATTGTCTGTTTCAATTTTGGCCAGGAAAATAGAGCTTTAACCCTATGATAGGTTGCTTGCACTCCAGATTGTCCACCCAAGTCACTAGCATGTAATGCTTGCAGAATGTGTTGTTGAGCCAATGTATTACTGCCCACCCATATTCTACCTTTGTATCTTAGGATGCCATCTTTCAGAGTGAACACTCTATCATTCTTAGAGCTTATACTCAATTCTGTGAGTAGTTGTTTAGAATCCTCATCTTCAGCATAACCCTGTTGCAACCTCTCCAACCAAGCTAGGGTGCTATAAGAGATGGACCATAACTCATTTAATCGAGGATTCCTTGAAAGTGCATCAGCAGCAGTGTTAGTAGTCCCTTTTTTGTACTGAATCTTGAACTGCAAGTCCATGAGCTTGTCGACAGAATATCGTCGGCAGTCCTCCGAGGGGTATCCCACGAAGGTAGATTGATCGGCAGAAGTGCGCGTAATCAAGAACAAGAAGGCAACAGAGACACAACAATTAGACAGGTTCGGGCCATCAGCACGACGTAATACCCTACTCCTGTGCTCTGTTGGTTTGTATTGGCTATCGTATGATATTGTGTGTGTTCAGATGCCTTAGGCTAAGCCTATATATGGGGATGAATGAGGTGCCATCTAGAGGACTCCTGCCCCTCCTTATATGCTCTGAAGAGGTAGGGTTACAATGAAAGTATCCTATTTGGTATTATACAATATCTGTTAAATCACATCTTCTTGTAGCCTTGCGGTGCACGCCGACCAGCGCCGAGCACCACACGCCTTGATCTTGTGGGCTGGGCCACCTCTGATGGCGCGGCCCATGTCTTGTCCTGTGGGTACCGGGGGTCATACCCCCACAGAGCTTAAGAAGAGCTTTCTGTTGTAGCCTTGATGTGACAGTTTGCTCAGTGAGACAATGTAGACTCTTGTGATCAGTCCTTATAATGAATTACTTCCCATGTAAATAGCTTCTCCACTTGTCTACTGCCATAATGAGAGCTAAGCACCCCTTATATGTGGACAGAGCTTGGTTTCTTGGACAAAATGCTTTACTGAGAAATGAGATTGGATGGCCTTCTTGCATCAAAACAGCCCCCATGCCAAGATCACTGGCATCTGTTTCAATAATGAATTGTTTGCTGAAATCTGGGATGGTAAGTCCAGGAGCAGTGCTCAAAGCTGATTTTAACAACTCAAAAGCCTCTTGGGCTTGTGGAGTCCATAGAAAGGTCACTCCCTTTTTAAGCAGCTGTGTCAGAGGTGTGCTTACACTACTAACTTTCTGATCCTTATGCCACGCTTTTTTTTCGCAACGCCAAGATTTTGATTGCAGTAGGGGGTGTTCTCGCAACCATTTGCACTTTCGGTTGCGATAGATGGGATTTTTGCCACACAAATTATTTAGTGGCCCTAAGTATGGAGATCGTTGCGAAAAGTAAGTGTTATCACAACCAATTGTTGAATGGTTGCAATAAGTGATCACTTTTGCCACGATTTGATTTGTGTTGCGAGCAGTTTTATTGGTGTTGTAATACTAAGATGATATAGCAACTCTTTAATTGATGGTTGCGATAGGGCATCTATGTTGCAACGAATATGATTCGTTGTATGCAATAGTCACTTGCGTTGCAAAAGAGTTGTACATATAGCAGCGAAAAATAAATCGTTGCAATAGCTGAGGTTGTATTGCAACTTTACTTAGTAGTTGCTATATAGTAGTATTATGGTGGCAGTATGAACTTTTTTTCTTTGACGCAAAAACCATGGGGGAGTTCCCCACGATGATTCAAAACTTTTTATAAAAGGAGCAAAACGTTCAGAGAAATACTTACATCAGAGGCAAGAGATGGAGGAGTGGCAATATAAACTTGTATCGCAACTTATATGGGCTCTGTAATTCTACAATTACTTACGGCCCAAGTCAGGAAAATCTAGTCTCGGCAGCAGAGGCAGACACCAAGGAAAATTGCCCCATCGATCACGCATGCATCACGACCCCTTGCACACGAGGCACCGATCACCTTGCACATAAGACGCTGCCACTTGTCCTCGTTCCTTCCTTCTGTGCGCGCGAGAGGTCATGGACTAGGGGCAGCGAGGAAATCACATTATCAAAGACGGCGTGAAGGACGTGGGCACCTTGGTACTACGTGCGCGGTGACAATAATCTCCCTACTCATCTCGAACCTCGACATCTACAATCCATGTATGCCTATGATTGCAAGAGCAGCATCATGCTAGAATTACAAAGGCCCACCAGGCTGACAACAACTGTCATCTGGGTTCAGATATAGTTCAATATTCTCTATTATGAAGGATGTCAGACTCATGAGGGTAGTATTCATTCCTTACAGAGAAACTATAAGGTCCACCATGAGGGAGAGGTTTTGTATTCAACTCTAATGCTGCTCTCTACCGGTATGATGTTAGCTTCAAGACATCTTATGCCACAAAATAGGATTCATTTATGTACATTGTATGATCACACCAATCGAACACTCCAGCTCAAGAACATGAAACGGATTCTTGAGATCCATATCGACCAACATATCCAGTTTCTTTTCCTCCTTAGCTCTCTAACCTGAAGAGGATGATCATAGATGTTAAATCTCTCCTACATGGGAGTGCATAGCAGTAAATAGTATTCCACATAAATACGTGCATAGGAGTTTACCCATTCTAAAATCATGCCTTTCTAAGACTGACCATGTCCAATATATGCTCAAGGTTTTAGGACCAACAAAATTTTCCAAGAAAACTTCATATAATCCCAATATGCAATCCATATTCCATAACTATCCTGCCCAACACCGTTGTTGTCGTCCCCTGTTCCGCCCAGTGCCCAGTGCTGTTCCAACCCATCACTGCCAGCAACTAGAAACATTATTTTGAGAAACCACACATACAAAGGACTGGAGGAATAATTAGGAATAAGTATTCCAAGAAAAATTATCTTTACAGCACACTTTGGTGGAGGGGAAAGGGGGAATTTTACTGCCATGATATTGCCGAGAATAACTAAAAAGTAAAAAAAAAAAAGTTGTTGCACTGAATAACTAAACAATGCAGAAGCTAGATAAAACAAGTATTTTGCTGAATTGAACTGAACAAAGAACACACTAAACCTGCAAAAACTTAAGTTCTACTAGCCTGAAGATATGATGTGAACTGCTATGCTACTTACCTGAAAATGGAGCCATAGCTGTTACTGATATTGCTGTACCTGCAAAATAGACACAGAGACACAGAGAGCAAACAAGAACACAAGCTGCTGAAGGAGAAGAAAACTAGCACCACAGACAGGTAGAGGACTATGTCATTTAGCACTTGCTGGTTCAAATTTATGATTAACATGCAATTTTATTTATGGAACAATCAAAATTTGCATAATTTATTAAGTTAACCCATGTATAAGTGAATTGAAGGTAACAGTTGAGTAACTAAACTTTGGAATAAAAAAATCTCAAATACTTTATGGTTCTGAGCATGCATTGGTTATTTCAAATAAAATGAAAGAATAAATATAGTGAGCATAAACAACTATTTTTTTAATATAGCATGTACTGCATTTACCCTGTAGGATGATTCCAAATCATTCAGACACTAGCTAACATTAGGAACTGTGGATCAACAAATATACCAAATCTTGGCATGGCCTTCATTTAATATACAAGCATATATAAGAATTAAGATGGCACGGAAAATAAGTCCAAGCAACAAGGTCTGAAACTGATTTTTGAAGCTAGTCACCAGAAACAAGTTTCACTCAGAAATAGTATAAATCAAAGTGCTAGGCTTAAGTTTCCCTTTTTTTCTCTGAAATGTGTACACAGATTGCAAGCATAGCTGAATAGGCTTCAGCACACGAGCAAGGAATGAAGAAGATTGATGAAGACGACAGCGCAGCGACCTTGAACGCCTCGGCATGGCGAGCCCGAGCAGGTCCAAGGCGGGTGGGCAACTGGATCTCGGTTACCATGACCTGCGTGCCATACTGCCATGGATCTCAGCTGCCTTGGCCTCGCTCCAGCGGAGGGGACAACCCCTGGTGTTGTCACGCGGAGGAGCTGGGAGAGAGGAGAAACCATATGCAACAGTTACACAAAATTGTATATATTCCTAACAATTGTATAGGACAAAGAAACCTCAGCATTGGACAATTAAGCATCATGTTTTTTAAAATATACATTTACAAAATGATAACTCCACCTTCCTCTTTCAGAGCAAACTGCATATATGTATTTTCATTATCAGGTTTGGCTGTACATACTGTCTCTTGTAGAGCATATTTATCGAAGTATTTTTATACAGTTAACGCATCATATTTATCACACATGATATCTACCACGAATAAAAAATCAGCTACATCCTACATGGAACTGAAAGTGAGACAATGTGTCATTAAACGTGAAACCTTAACTAAAGCCTTCTTCATGAAAGGTGAGTGGCATTTATTAATTGACCAGCAACTAAATATGTACCATAGTTAGGACAATGCAAATGGTGTGTGCAAGAGAAAAACACCTCTTGTGGACCAGCATGTTCATACGACTTGGCTCACGTCTGCATTAGCCCAGCGAACTCCTGATGTGAAGAAAGGAAAAGGAAATTGGGTAGAGGCATGTCGCCGTCGATACGCAAACGCAATGATGCTACCCTCGACCTGTACTCCAAACACCTCAATGACGCTTGCCACCAGGTTGGAGCCATAATAGCTGGAACTTAGATCAAGAACGAAATCAATCAGAGAACATGAAAGCCCTACATCGATCGAGAACCAAATTAATTTGGAAAAATTTGGGGAAAAACCTGGGGAGACGAGAGAGCCAGCACCTGAGCCGCGGCCACCGGCAAGGGCACCCACAGGTCAGGTAGCCCTCCGTCGCCGACTCGCTGTGCATGCGACGGAGGGGCCCAGGACGGTTCCCGCTTCTTCCTGCCGCGGAAGGAAAGCCGGAGGACACCCCTGTAGACGCACCCGAAGCCGCCCTCGCCAACCATAAACAGCGGCGAAGTTGCGCGTTGCGATGCTGTGAGCTCCCGTAGGACGAACTCCTGCAGGCCCCCTCACCTCGTACAGCTCCGGGATTCTCCCCGAAGAGAAGTGGGTCTGGGCACAGGAGGGATGGGAGGAGCGGGGATGGCGGCCCAGGCGGCGGATCTGGATTACGCGTTCGGACGGGGAGAGAGGGCGAGGGTGGCGTGCGTGACTGCGTGCTATGAAGTTTGGGGGCCACGAGCGCGGGACTAGTCCGATTTTGTCAAATGAGAGGTGGAGCGCGGGAGCTAGCCAATTTTTGCGTCACGAGTGTCGTGTAAATTTTTGGCTCGCAGGAGTGTTAGAGTTTCCATAATTTTTTAATTAAAAATTTGTTATTTTCGCTCGAGCCAGGCTCTCCAGCAACACGAAAAATCTACGTTTCCCCCGGGCCGCTACGGAGGCTCCAGACCAGGCCAGATAAGAAAAGCAGCCAACCAAATGCTGAGAAAAAGTAAAGATGCTGCATCTCGTGGTCTAGGCTGAGCTAAAACAGAGTGTCAATCACGCTTTATATATTATTAAATGTGAAATTTTATGGTGTTTGAAAAAAATTAGAGCCATCCATTTAGATAAATCAGATGGCTATAAAATAAGAAGAACCAATGTAGAGAAATTTAAGTTATGGGCTAGAACCTGAAATAGGTGGGCCCGAACCAAAAATATATAAGCAAAAAATTGTTTCTAAAATAAATTTAAATTATAGAATAGTACTTTCGCAGAGCTGCCCCCTCTCTGCCGGTGCCAGGCGAGCTCTGTTCTCTCCTTTCAGGCATGTTTGAAACATGTGGAACCTTTGCCGCAGCTCGCCTCGCCGCTCGCTCACCTTGCCTAGCCTAGCCGAAGCGTCCGAGCCTCCGAGGACAACAGCTTGACGACGAAGACCTTGATTAGCAGCCTCAGCAACGACGTCCGGCCTGGTGCGCAACCTCGAGCTACTGCCCGACGCGGGACGACGCGGTTGCGCACAGGCATGCTCTCATGGCGCTGGCACGGCTTCTGGACGCGTGTCCCAGTCTCTGCTTCGCCGCAACAACTGGCAGATGGCAGCTAGAGACGACGTCTGACGGTGATGCCCTCGCCTTCCGCGCCCCCCAGACGGAGCACACCATCGAACAGGGGCGGATCCAAAGGGGGTGCCGGGGCTACAGCCCCCCGGTGAGCCTGATTTTTTCACTAGACTACGGTTCCTTAGCCTCAAATCACCATTAATTTCTAACCTTAGCTCTAAATCTATATTATTTAGCCCTCACTTTATTCCCATCCTGCATCCACCACTACCGTCGAGCAACTGCACACCTCGTTTAGGATTAGGGACGACCGATGGCTCCACGCGCGGATGCGGCCATGGCCCATGGCGCACTGCCCCGCAGTCCTGCCGATCCCCCCACCCCTCAAAAATAAAAAACAGGGCAAACTGATAGTTAAATCAGTTTTCTTGGAGGACTGGAGATGCTTGACTCGACTGTTTTCTTTAGCTGATTGGAGATTTAGAAGAGTGCAAAAGAGCAAAACTACAATGTTGCAAGGTTAGTTTTTCTTCTAGACCCAAGTGTTAGTTATTTTCAGTGGCGTAGCCACAGGGTATGCCGGGTATGCACCGGCATACCCTGCAAACCTGGCCAGCAGTAGTATATATACTATTATATTGTATATACGCTGTATTTGTTAAAAAGAAAAAAAAAACATACGTGGACACCGTCATGTGATGACAGGAGGCCCATATGATGCACTGACGCGGCCCATGTGGCAAGGGAACTCCAATTCTCCAAAGTCCAAACGTCCGATATGTGCACTCCATATACAACCCTTCGAATTTCCTAATCTAATCTCGATCAAACGGGGAGCCACGGAGGAACACGTGCGTCGCCGCCTGACAGGTGAGTCTGTGACGCCTCGGCCGGCCACGGCCCCTGTGCCCTACCGCCCTCTGCCATGCTCTGAATGCTGGATCGGAGGATCGCCATCTAATTCCCACGTCCTATCTGTAGAATATATGGTTACGCCAGTCGGGACTTATCGTCTTGATTCGCTATTTTGGTTAGCTAAATTTTAATCTTTGCTCTTCGTGTCTTTTAGAAAATTATTTTCTACATTCATAGCTATTTGGTAACATTCATAGCTAGTTGAACCTTCTAATCCTCCACCTGATCAGGTTGAACTAGTGATGGAAGACCAGTGGTTGATCTGGTTGATGAAGAAGATATAGTAAGACATTCATATTCCTTGGAAAGCGTCGAATAAAACAATTTGAAAAAATAGCATCGTAAGCCTCTGGTACTCTTTTATGCCTATATTTAAACTATCAGTATGGCTTTTGAACTATTTATATTGTATTTAGTAGATGGTTTCAACTTAATCCTTGAATTTAAGCCTTATCATGTTACTTAGTGCATGTGTACCAAATCACGTTGTAAAATTTACAATTGTTACTGAATTGCTAAAATGGATTTATCAAATTGTATATGAAATTTTTTTTGGCGGCATACCTAAAGTTAAAATCCTAGATTCGCCACTGGTTATTTTGTTCCTTTTTAAAGAGTTGAGTGCTTATCCTAAACTTCTACAAATTTATCTTATGTCTCGGTGAGCTAGACCAAAACGAAGGAGCAAAGTTGAGGATGCTGCTATAATAAAAGATGACAGCTGAATCCGCCTTGTTTTGGTGCCCATAAGTGAATGGAAGATGCGAACTTGGTAGAATATGGCATCATTAGTAAGTAGTTTGTAGAATAAAAAAACTAAAATTGGGAATGTAGTTTTCTTGGTGGCTCACTATTTTCTGCTTGATGAATTATCAAACATTTGTGCATCATTAGTATATATGCATTGTGGTTGTGCAAAGAAAGAAATGGTGTTTGTATAGAAAATGGAGGACCTTGTACAAAACAAGGAACGTGTAACAACAACAAACTTTGCACCTTTGTTGTACATATTGACTGTAGGTTGCTAATTACTATTACTAAACTATATGGTCATTGTTAAACACCTTTACTATCAACTCGATTGCAACCTTGTTTTATCCAAAATTCTATACAATCTGTGCATGAATGACTATACCTAATTTTCTAATATCTCAATCTTATAATTTTGTTGAGTACGTGGACAAAGCTTGAGTGCGAGGCTCAGAATCAAGCAAGGACACAGCCGAGGCGATAACATGTTGCTGCTAGGAAACCCTCAAGTGTTGTACTGCTGCAAGTTTTAAAAAGTTATGAAATAATGAGTGAACTATACACTCGTTTATGATTTTAGCTACTATTTCAATGCTTTGTCAATTTATTGATGAATAATTGATTATAAATATATGTGAGTGCAATCAAATTTGTTATTGTTTATTATTTTTTGCAATGACGATTTATTAAACCACAAATCAAATGCTACTAGCGTTGCAATACAAACTATGCCAATGAGCTGCTATGCGTGGCAATACGATCTATGGCAACGAATAAAATTGCGTGGCAAATGATACTATTGCCACGGCCCAACGATAGTAGCGATAACATATGATCTCTCGCAGCGAATAAATTTGCGTGGCAAATGATACTCTTGCCACGGCACAACAACTGTGGCAATAATGTATGATCTCTCGTAGTGAATAAAATTGAGTGGCAAATGGTGTATTTGCCACGGCATCGTGGTTGTGGCAATAACTCTTTAGGCAACAAAATTCTAGCGTGGCAATATATTGTTTGTGGCAAATGTCTCTATTGCTACGCTATCGATCGTTGCATGTACCACTTGTTGCTACGAAGATGGGCGTGACAAGTGCTTATATTGCCACCATCGTGAACGTTGCGACAACGTCCTATTTCCATGCTTGGCAACGAACAGCTATGGTTGCAAGAAACCCCAACAGTTGCAACGCTAAACTAGCAACGGTTGCAATACCTTATTACAACGTGACTTTTTGCAACCATCGGCAACGAACGCGATTTGGTTGCCACATCTATCTTTTGCAAC